CTGAGCGGGAGGTGACGCTGCCCGGGGGTTGCGGGGCTCCAGGCCCAGGGCAGAGGTTCCAGTCACAGAAGGTCCCGTGTCAAGGTTCCAAGCGCGTCTAGCACCGACCCCAGGAGCCTGTTGGGGGATGGGGGCGAAGGTGGAAACGGAAACCGCGCGCTGCCCCTTCCCTCCCACCTAGTAAAAATGCAGCGCGTGCTTCGCTCTCCCTGGGCAGGTGTGGCGGCGGGTCGGGTACCCGGACCCTGCATTCCCTCTGCTACAAGATGATACTCGGTCAGCCAGTGGCACAGAGAGCGTGTATTGGTTCTGTGAGGTACAGCACAGCCCGGGCTCTATGTGGGGGCAGGCAGCCTCAGACCCTGGGGGTGAGGATCCACCAGCCCCTGAACTCCCAGCACTTTGCTCAGTCTGTTCTCTCCATGTTTTCCCAGCCCAGAGTGACTCCTCTCCAAACCACACCCGTACCCGGACCCTGCATTCCCTCTGCTACAAGATGATACTCGGTCAGCCAGTGGCACAGAGAGCGTGTATTGGTTCTGTGAGGTACAGCACAGCCCGGGCTCTATGTGGGGGCAGGCAGCCTCAGACCCCTGGGGGTGAAGATCCACCAGCCCCTGAGCCCCCAGCTCTCTGTTTTTTTCCCAGCCCAGAGTGACTCCTCTCCAAACCACACCCGTCCTTTGTTCAGACCCCTTTCCTCATCAGTGAGAACCTGTCGGGTCACTGCCTGCATGACATGAGGGTCCTCAGGCAGCGTCCTCCACCCCCTCTGCTGGGCGGTGCTTACAGACCCAGGTCAGTAGGGGTGATCCATAGCCCAGAGCCCAAACGTAGGGACTAGACACCGAATAGACACCACCCCCACTGCATAACAACGGGTACATTACAGGCTGAGAGGCCGGAGAATCCCGTGCGAATCCTCCTCCCCTTTCTGGCTGCGTCCCTGCTGCGCTGTGTGTGTGTCTCTCCAGGTGCAGCAACAGGGGGTGGTGAGCGCAGCTGCAGGGAGACCCAGTGTAATGGCGAGTTGGGGGGTCCCGCATACTCCTGCAGCCCGTAGCAGCAAGAACAGACTCCGCCAGCCAGTAGAATAGAGAGGGGTTTATTGCTCCTCTAGGATACAGTACAGCATAGAGGTGATGTGGCTACAGGAGTCTGGGCCAGGATGCCTCAGACCCCTGGGGTTGGGGGGGTCCATCACCCCCCTACGCCTCCAGCCCTCAGTTTAGGCTGTTTTCTTCCATGTTCCCGAGCCAGCAACTGACCCTTCCCCAGTAACCTGGTGTTCGGCTGCATCTCCCTCCCTCCCTTCCTCTTTCCCACTGGGAAGCTCCTTGTTATCTGGTCAGACTGGGCCTGGGTGTCTTGGCTAATACACGTGCCGGTGAGTCAGCGGGAATCACACATCGCAGCGCAGGGGGACACCAGGTTACAGAGCAGACAGCACCCCCACTACGTCACACCTGGTTCTTGGAGGTGCCCGGGGAGACCGTGACCGAGCTCCGGAAGGAGGAGCTGTTCTCTGTGTGCCAGGTGGACCCGCCCTAATATCCCTGCCCCAGCCACTGCAGCCCTGTCCCGGGAGGCTAACGCCCCTCAAGGCGGAGGGCTGAGAACTACAGTGAAAGGGGTCGGCCTCCCCTCTCCTGGGGCAGGGCTGTTTGGCGCGTGTCTCTGCTGCCCCCGTGCGGCAGACGCGGGAAGTTCCGCAGCTCTGGTTTGTGTACGAGCAGCCGCAGGGTTCGTGTCGCTGTGTCTCTCGCACAGTAATAGCGGGCGGTGTCCTCGGGCTTCAGGCCGGTCATTTGCAGGTGCAGCAGGTTGTTGGGATTGTCTCTGGAGATGGTGAATCGGCCTTTCACGGCGACCCACTCCAGCCCCTTCCCCGGAGCCTGCCGGACCCAGCTCATCGAGTAGTCGTCAAAGGTGAAGCCGGAGGCTTTGCAGGAGAGGCGCAGAGAGTCTCCGGGCTTCTTCACATCCCCCCCGGACTCCACCAGCTGCACCTGGGACCGGGCACCTGGGAATAAAAACCGGGTGTTAATACGGGGACTAAAGCAGCAATAACACAATATTATCCCGACTCTTCCCGTAGAAAATACCTGGGAAAGCGGCTACGGCGACAAGCAAAAGGAGAAACTTTTTCATTTTTCTGCTGTTCAAGGACCTTTGAGGGGACTGGCTGGTCCCTGCCCAGACACAGGGTCTGCGGATCGTCTGTGCGGGTGCAGCCTGGGCAGAGGGAGGGACAGATTTAAAGAGGACACTGACTCTCTCATTTGCATACCCCCAGCCTTATAAGAGACACGTTCCTTCCCCCGAGTGATGTGGGGGATGTTTCCTGGCCTTACAGAGCGGGGCTCGGACAGGCCCTCGGGATGGGCGCGCAGCGCTTGGGGGAGGGATCGGGAAGATACTTTTCCCCAAGGGAGAAGCGAAGAGATCGCCCCTCCCTCCCTCCCCTGGCCGGACACAACGATACAAACCGGCCCATTGCAATTCAGGTGACGCCTAATTTAGGGCGGGGATTTCACAGGCGGCCCAGGGAAGCATCGGGCCCTGTCTCAGGGGGGAGCTCTTTGGTGTCCCTTTTGCCCCGACCCCTACGCAGCCCGGCCCTGCGTCCCCCTGCACATCAGGCTCTGAGCGATTAGTCTCGTCTTATTTTACAGCCCTTAGCCACGTGACTGCCCTCATTGACCTGGGTACCCGCGAGTGACGTCATCAATGGCCGAAGTGCGGGTCCTTTTACCTCCAGGGGGTGACTGCGTGAAATTGTGGGACCTTATTGCGGGCGGCCTGGGAGGTCTCAGCTCCGCCCCGTGACACCAGCTGAGCTGGAGGGAAACGAGACCCAGGTGGGCTGGGGAGGCGGAGCCAACGTACCAGACCCTGGTGGGGAGGGTGACTCAGAAGGGGATTCGCCCCGGATTGAAGTTCCCGGACGTGGCGAGGGATCGTTGCACCCAAGGTGAGACATTGTCCGGCAACGGAGGAGTTAACACAGGCGGGAGGTTTGTGTTACATGCACCCAAGTGCCGGGTCCGTTGCTCTATCCCGGAGCCTGTTTCTCTACTGCCCCCTGGCGGCTGCCGTGGGAAGAGCGATTCCACAGCCTGGGATTTTGCGTGTCTGTCAAATTAGATGAATCAATTAAAGAGGCAACGTGTCTCATTTGTGCGCTGATTCCATTGTGATCCGAAAGCAGAATTCCAATCTGGATTCAACTTTTGTAGGCAATTTCCTCTTCTCTCAATGTCAAGGTTTGGTTGTGCCAGGAAACTGGGATGTGCCTGGATTTCGATTGTTTTCCAAAGCCTGGAAAGGGAGGGGGCAGAGACAGGAGGGATGTGACATTCACAGTCACCACTGGGGGCAGTGAGTGCAGGAGACAAATCCTGCAGTGTCAGGGGGAGGCCAGCTGGGGGCAGAGCTCACCATTTTGCCTGCCACTAGCCCAGGTAAGTGGTCCCTCTGCCCCAAGCCCCTCCCCCAGCCCTTGGTCCCAGATCTGGATGGGGAGAGAAAGACCACCGGTCCGACAGCTGTGCCCCCTACCCCCGAGCACCACCAGGCCAGGCATCACAGCCATGGCCCGCAGGACCCCCGGGCGGTGGAGTATCGAGGGGAAAGAATCAGCTGCCTGGTCTGAGCACAGGTTCTCGGTCATCAGTGAGGGGCTTAATTTTCATCAGCTCCTCTGGTCCGGGAGAGAGAGGTTTCGGGGACCCCGCCCGTGCGGACATAGGGTCAGTGTAGTCACAAGGTTGAACGAGGCTGGAACAGAGACATCAGGACACACGCGGGGATGGATGCGAACAGCCCACACGCTCCTGTCGGACTAGGACCGGGGCGGGGCGATTGTCTGTCAGAGGAGAACACAGAGCGCAGGGACAGTCTGAATCCCGGTTCTTTCTTCCCGGGAAATACAACACTGGTGTGGAGAAAGTAAATAAAGAAAAGTTATTTACTTGTTCCCACAACACAAGAGCTGCGGGTCACCAAATGAAATGAATAAGTAGCAGGTTTAAAATCAACAAGGTATTCCTTCCCTCAATGCACAGTCAGCTGGTGGAACTACTAGCCAGAGGATGCTGTGAAGATTAGGACTTTAACAGGGTTCAAAACTGAGTTAGATAAGTTGATAATGTCCCAGCAGCAGGGGAGTGACAGAGCCAGGGACAGATCCCCGCGTCTGACTCCCAGCGCAGCCGCCTCCCCCCTAGTGCGCACTGTGGGATCCCAAGGAGGCCCCCTCTCTCCCCAGAAGAGGCAGAGCGAGTTCGTTCCATTGGTATCGTTTGGATTTTCTTGTGTTGCGGGGGCGGGGCGGGGATGGTGTTTCCCAGATCCGTTGTATTTCCCGGGAAGAAAGAACCGGGACTCAGACTGTCCCTGCGCTCTGTGTTCCAGTCTGACAGACACTTTGTAATTATTATTGAAAGTATCATTGCAAAAAATGTAGAGTTTACTGAATCACTAAAAGGCTACGCAAGTATAAAAATCAGAATAATTCAGTTCATATCAATTCTTTTAATTTAGGAGAAACTGGGTGCTTGGGAAGACACTAACGTTTTTCATTACAGTGTAGAGTTGAACCCAAATAGTTTGTAATTGTGATTTTGCTAAAATTAAATGAGGACACTAGTGGGAAACTGTTTTATTTCACTAACTACAAATTTTCTGTTTTCATTTTTTTTAATTTTAAACAGTCAAAGACAAACAAACACAAAAATTGCAAAGTGCGAGAATGTGTAAAAGTCAACAAAAAACGGGGGGCAGCCACCATTTTTTTGCTTGGGGCAGCAAAAAATCTAGAGCCGGCCCTGAGGAGGGGAAGGTTCTCCGAGCCAATAGCTGGTTCTTGCCCGGACACAGGGCTCTGGGAGCTGTGATCGCAGGGGCAGCCTGGACAGAGAAAGATTTAAACGGGCTGGTAGCGTAATGTACAAGTGTCCCTCTTTCTAAGGTACAAACATCTGTCATTGGCACCGGAATGACTGTGACTAAGGCTCTGAGCGGACTCGGTCTGGGTAAAGACAAACGTGCAGCGCCTAGCACAGCGCACCGGGGCCCGGACTGACATGTCCGAAAGGAGAGATTGCAGGGGGCCTTCTACGGCCCCAGTGTCCGGGACATGGTTCTAGCTTGGCTCGAAAGCCGCTGCGAGCAGAACAGAGTCTCGTTCGCTCAGAGAACGTTGGGTCAAACCCTGCAGGAGAACACTTGTCTGGCGAGAACAGGAGGCAAATCAGAGGGAAGGGCCCTCAGAGGGGTGTGGATGCTGACGAGCTATCAGCTTCCACAGCATCAGCCTCCTCCCTTGAGCACTTCCAGGCTGTCTTTCTGGGTGATTGTTTTTATCTGTTGCTTGCAGGAGCTGCTTCTAATCATATTGCTAGTTGCCTCCGAGGGTCAAATACAAGACCATTGCTCCCCAAACAAAGAGAGAAAACTGTCACCTTTCACTAGACTGATCAGCATTTGGGAGGCAGGACACCGAGAAGTAGGAGAGCAAATCAGTGAGGTCACCTTGTGGCCGGCAAGGTTCAGGGGCCGGGCCGTGTCACAGGAGCCCGTCTCCCAGCAGCCGCGCCGGGGCCTCGGCCTCAGGGCTTGAGCCCCGAGCCCAAGCGCAAAACCTCCATCCGGGCAGGTGTCACTCTCCTCCCGCCTCGACGCCGGCTGAGAGGGAGAAACGCACGAGCCGCGCGGGTTCTTAGCCGCCTCCCTCCTACGGGCCTGTTTGCTGCGCAAACCTCTGGGCCTGTCTCATGCCTCGCCTGGGAAGCACGGCCACGCCAGCTAAGCCCCAGTCACAGCTCCTGAGGTTTCCTGTGCAGCCTTGGACTTGCACGGCTGCCGTGGTTTCTCTTTGGAAGGGACTCAGTCCCGCTTGGACAGGCGACTCGCCCGGGTGACTCCATCCCTGGAGTCTGCCGTGGCTCTGCTGCTTTAGAGCTCAAAGTTTCTCCCCTCCCTGGGATTTTGCCTCTGAGACTAGAAGTTTGCATCTGCTGATGTCATCTAGAAACAGACCAAACACCAACTTTCCTCGCCGGTGATGTTCCCCGTGGGACTGGCACCTGGGGAGGCGGCCCCTGCCCGCACCAGGCTATACAGCGCACCGAGAAGATTTTCCACAATTGGCTCAAGGCTGAGGCGTGGGGCGCATAACCGGACAGGGCGAAGGAGCCTCGGTCGCTGCTCTGGGCTCTGACGTTCCAGTGACCGGGCCCGGGGCTCAGGCGAACGCGCCGGGCAGAGCAGATGGGCGGAGGAACCTGCCTCTGGCCCTGAGACGCTGCGTGCGGAGGTGGGAGCCGGGATCCCGTTGCTGCCTGACCTGCCTTGGAGGTAAATCAGCCGTTTCCTCCCTGCTCCCTGGCGCTTCAGGGTTGGGAAGCAACGTGGGTTTGGTAGGACACTAGTGGGGGGGGGGCTGTTCATGGGGCGCGGGGCGCTGGTTTCTAGCAACCCTCCCACCCAAAAGGAGAGGATTTCAGATCAGCCAAGAGCTTTTAGCTCACAACTTCCCTTGCTTCTGTCACTCTGGTATCTGGGCACCGCACTCTCTGGAACATGTCTCTCCTCCTCCGCCCCAGTGCATTGCCACCAGCCCAGCTTGGCAGCGGGGTGTACCGCACACAGAGGGACTGATCTCTGGAGGTGTTTGGGCAGCTAACGCTGTAGTATCCCACACTGCCAACAAGCCCATTCTCGGGCAGTGGCAGAGCCTTTCTAATGACCCAATGAATCCCAGAGAGAGCTGGTGGCAAAGCCAGGATGGGAATAATTGAATCATAGAACACTAGAAGTGGAAGGGACCTCAAGAGGTCATTGAATCCAGTCCCCTGCCCTCGCAACAGGACCCAGTACTGTCTAGACCATCCCTGATAGATGTCTATGTAACCTGCTCTTAAATATCTCCAGATACGGAGATTCCACAACCTCCCTAAGCAATTTATTCCAGTGTTTAACCACCCTGCCATTTAAGCCCATTGCTTCTTGGCCTATCCTC